AGTTAGCTCCCAAAGGTTTCACCGGGACGTGCTAGGCAGGTAACAGCTAAGCTAGCTAGCTGTTTCATGGTAACTTCCGGGTTTTTCACGATCGCTTTTTGTCACTTTAAAACAGTATTTTTGATATGAAAACGTTAACAGCAAATTCTGAAATCGTCCGTGCATGTGTGTTAAGGATGTATATGTATACTGTATTGTCCGATTAACGTTTAATGGTGTTGATTGATTGATATGTATTTGTTTATTGAGCGTGCTCAATAAACAAATAAGAAGCTTCGCTAGCTTCTCTACACAGACAAGTGTGCAGAGAAACTGCACAATGTAGTGACAGGCGCTGATAGCTTATACTTGCAGAGTAATGGCAGTATTTTACACACCTGAATTACAAAAAGAGATTGCATTGGGGCTTTGGTCATTATTGGTTTGAGAGTTCTGTTATCAAGAAGAAATGATCGGAAGAATTGCATTCAAGTCAATGGAGTGTTCTACTGCTGCTGTGAGGAGCTGTATAATAAATTATAATTCAATATTAGAATATATTCTAATGTTAAATGAATACATTCGGATGCGAAACTAGCGGTATTCTTTTACCTATATATTGTGTTAGCAGTGCGTTGCTTTAGTGCCATTTCATCAGTGATTGTTGTACAGCTTACAAGAAGTTGCGCTAATGTTAGCATACGTATCAGATCGCAAATAAAACTAGGTGGCTCCGTGTTATGAGAGCGTAGGGCAGGCATGTCAAAGTCAAATACATCAGAGGGCCAAAAAAAATGTTTGCTACGCGCCGAGGGCCGGACTGGTTCAATGTTTCTCAACATCCAGAGGCAGTGCCGGTGACACCTGCTGGCTCGATAAAATATGCTCTAAAGCCAATCCTCATACTGTACATATGAGATGTAATAGACACCTGAGAACATGAAAATAGTAAAAAAAAAAAAAAAAAACTCAAACTTGGTGAAATGGAAAAGAGCAGTCTGGACCTCTTTTCGGGGCGTTTTTTTAATTAAATCTGCAGAATGGATTATACTTTGGGAAATACAAGTGGATATTCTTCTTCAATGAACAGTTACGGAGAGAAAGAGACTAAGCGAAGATGGGGAAAGTCTAATTTGTTGGAGCAGCAGAAGACGAAAGGTAAAAAACGAATACAGACGTGATTTATTTTGTGCTCATATTATGCGTTATATCTTTTTAATGCAAGGTCTGATATTGTTTACACTTACATATAAATATAGCTGAGAAAATAAGCTTTAAAATGATATATAGCTTGTGGCTTATGAAGTTCAAAATACATCTGCTATTGCCAGCAGATGTATTTTTTTCCTCGTTTGCTCCCGCCGGCGGGGGCTAGTGAGCTTAAAGGGTCAATGCATTGCCTCAATGGCAGGCAATGTCCCGGGGGCCATAGATAATTCATTCGCGGGCCGGATTTGGCCCGCGGGCCTTGACTTTGACACATGTGGCGTAGGGGAAATGAGAAGCCATTGAGCGAGTTGGGGGGCGGTGCTAAACATTCAAACCTTGCAGAAACGGGTATAGCGCCTTTAATGATGTCAAAAATAGCCTCCTTCTTTGCCGCTCTCATTGTGACACTGCACTCACCTGAGTTTGCGCTGCAGGCAGAAGCGAGGCTGACCGCGACCTCACTCATTACCCACACGCACAGTTGCAGATGTTTCATTGTTCATGCTTCTTTCCTGCAAGAGAAATCCTAGACGCTCTAAAAAAAAAAAAACCTGGCAAGAACCTTGACATGCTAAACCTTCTCTCATTTTTTGATGTTGTCGTAGTTTTCTCTTGTCAGTTATAGTGCGAGTTATTTCTAGCCTTATATTCACAAGACGTCTTTACTGTATCTCACTCCTCTCACTGCCACTTACTTTCTCAGTCAATTTTCTTATCTGAATCACCGAGCAATTGGGTGACATGGTGGCTGAGTGGATAGCACTCTCGCTTCTCAGCAAGAAGATCCTGGGTTCGAATCCCGGTTGGAACAGGGCCTTTCTGAGTGGAATTTACATGTTCTCCCCATGTCTGTGTAGGTTTCCTCCAGGTGCTCCAGTTTCCTCCTACCACTAAATATGCACAATAATGTATTGTCTGAATGTAATGAGTGAATGGATGGTGTTTGTTTTCTTTGGGGACTCGCTTACGTCATCAGCGTGTGTGGAGAGAATGTAACATTATCTGAACTCTGAACATTGTTCAGCGCTTTGGGTGACCTTGGTCTGTAAAACTCTGCTATATAAATAAATTACTTACTCACTCACTAAAGTTGTGAAACGGGAATATGCAGTGGAGTGGAGTCTTTGCTATGAGCATGTTTGATGTTTGCGTTTGGGGGCAATCTGAAAAGGCATTTCCCGGACTAATTGAGGACCTTCTGAAACATTGCAAACAAACAGAAATAATTGGTTTATATTATGATATTATGATTATTAAATATTGATCTCTTTAATCTTCATAATTTTCTAGAATGTTCCAAAGTATGGTTTCTCTAAATTATATTATTACATTTTCCTGGATAGCTCAATTGTGACCTATTTGGCCTTTTTCGTTGTACCTGTTGTGGTAATGTGTGTGGTGAAGGCTCCTGAGGCTAAAACAGATCTCAGACTAAGCTGTTATGGTCAAAGGTTCATGTTTAGCACATCGTAGACAAACAGGAGACACCATCTACATTTTACTGTGAGAGTGATAAGGAGGAGGCTCTGATCGCAGCCACAGCAGTGATGAAGACCACACGAGACAGGAAGGGGCCCTCTGCTGTCACTCAGGGGCCAGAGGGCTGTCAGACAAGTGTATTAGGTCTGATACAGTACAAGACAGACTCAAGCGTTATGACATTTTCTGCTAAAAATGCAACACAACGCTATATGTACATTTAAATGCACTTTTTTGTTTTGTTGACTAATAATTAATTTTCATACTCCAAATCGCGCCATAATCAGATACTCAGTAATATAATTTATTTACTATGACTCCCCCTCCCTACACATGCAATACTTCAAATACTCAAATCCCTTTTCCCCCACAAATTGTTGCTACTTCCAATCCAGGCCAAGTTAGTTGGCACCCAGCTTGAATTGCGTTTTTCTCCGTCCACCTTATAATCACCTTTTTTTCTTCATTAATAATTTATCATAATCTCAGACAAATCAAAAATGCAATTTGGGAAAGTAAGAAAAAAGCATATGATGAATTTACTATATCATGTATTAGTGTTCCAAATAAAATGTCAGTATTAGCTTTTGCATGTTGGTGAGCGATGTGAACTTGTGTCTGTCATCTTGTCTAACCCAGTGGCGCACACACACACACACACACACACACACACACACACACACACACACACACACACACACACACACACATGGATTAGAGTCCGATCTCGACTGCTGCTCTATTCTGAGATCACCCGCAGGAGAAGTCTGTTGATTTAGAGGCTATAAATACAGGAGCGCGTCCAAGCAGGTCACTGTCAGAGGCACAGCAAGGATTTAGGATCTGGCTCCAGCTTTCTGTGTGTCTCTGTTCCTCTGCTGTTGACCTCAAGTGTTTTTCTCTGTTCTGTGAATATGTTGGAACCACTAAATCAGAGAATGTGAATGCTAAGTCATCAGTATGAGTTTTACTACAACTGAAATTACTTCCAAATACATTGTCACAGTGTCATCAACTGCTTTGTCACCAGAATAAGCATATATCTTATGTTTTGCAAAAGCATTATTAAGACTCCTCATCCTTCACAATGTGTCGAACAACTCAAGTCTGGTTATATTCATTTTTTGAGGAAAGATGAAAACTACTTCATTCAAGTGTTTTTAACATTATCACATTGATTCTGTGTTCTACTATGAATTAAATGATTGTTCTATACCAAGAACTAAAATTTTTGGAAATGTGTGGGAATTGATGTAATCGCTTCGTGTGTAATTTTTCAAATGTAACTCTCAAGTTGTCATTTATGATCTGATCATAATAGTCCTGTATGTTTAAATGATCTATGAAAATAGAGAAAGGGCCAAAATACCTATTCTGTGATTGTGGTGTATGTGACTAGTGTTTTCCACAATATATAACTTAAATTTCTCAAACATTGCATAGAAACAGAAAGTCAAAAAAGGAGGACAGTGAAGTGGAACAGATGGAGGGGGAGGATGGAGACTTTGTTAATGTGTTAATGATATTTAAAGAGAAGGATACACTGTTTGTGACAGATGGCTAATTATATCATGTAATTTGCAGGATTTATCTTCCCATAAATGACAACTTTGTAATATTATTCGAAAATACCTTGGCAGATTTATCGCTGCTTGCAGTCCAAGCGTAATCCCTTTTGTCTTGATTGCTTGGCTCCATCAGCCCCATCAGCCCATGTGTTTCTCCTTTCCTTCACACTCTGCTGTTTTAATTCCACCCTGCATTTCTCTTGTGCTGACAATGCAAGGTGGGGCTGCAGGATCCGTTAGTCCATCTACTTCTGGGAGAAACGGACCACTGTTATGCAGGCATGAAAAGCCCATAATATCTCTTGTATATTTACAGTATATGTTGTTCAAGATCATGCTTGATTGGTTTGAACTGTCAGAGCTCATTTCATGTTTTAAAGGAGACTTGTTTGTTTTTGAGTGGAAACAATGTTGTAACATGGTTGCAAGCTCAGACAAGAAGTTGTTTTTAAATCCATCCACGCTAATATCTGGAACTTCTGGCACAAACGTGTAACTCCGCCCCTTCTATCTAAAACCTCCTGCCTCAGTCCTGTAATAGTATGATGTCATTGTACCTTTATGACCTCACACTTGGTGCAGCTTTCTGTCTTTTAAAACAATAGTATTGCCCAAAATCTGAAACAAAACTAATGCAATTCAACCCCTCCCTCTGGTGGGAGCATATGGAGTTATAGACAGAAAGCATTTTTTACTGAAGATTTCACATTCTCAAACATGAATATATATTTATTCTTAAACACAATATTCTTTCTTCTGTTGCAGGACAGTGACTTGCAGAAGAAGATTGACCATGAGATCCGGATGCGGGATGGGGCTTGTAAACTGCTGGCTGCTTGTTCCCAGAAGGACCAGGCGTTGGAAGCTGCAAAGAGCCTGCAGACATGTAGCACTCGTATCATGGCATATATGTCAGAACTACAAAGGATGAAGGAGGCCCAGGTCATGCAAAAGATCACACGGAGGTCCTCGGATGCAGGGCCACTCGACGACCGGCAGCCATGTAAAGGGAAAGTGGCTATTTCAGGTAAAAAGATTGTGGCAGAAAAAATATACATCTTATCCAATTACTCATGAATTTCCGCTCAGTTTGCAATAATCCTGGCTCAATCTGTGCAGCGCCACTTCAGAATCAGAATCAGAATCATTTTCATTGCCACGTAAGTAACAGGAGGTCACAGACTTGGAAATTGCTTTGGCTCGGTGCAACAGTCAGAAAGAGAGAATCAAAAATAAAGAATAAAAAACACTTCTAAGAAATACATTTAAAATTAAAATGGAGTTACAATTACTATATACAATATACAAGTGCACATGGTGCACACAATGTAAAGTGACAGCAGTACAGTGAGGTAAAGTGATGTATGATGGGCAGTAAAGTGACTTTATAAAGAGCAGTAGGGGACTTCTAGAGGGCGGGGAGGTTAAGAAGTGTTCCAGTGTTCAAGAGTCCAACAGCAGAGGGGAAGAAACTGTTCTTGTGGCGGGAGGTTCTAGTCCTGATGTGCAGGGTCAGAGGGGTCGGCAGTGATACGACCAGCCCGGCCTCAAGCTCGGGCGACGTACAGTTTCTGCAGCGATGGAAGGCTGCGGCCAATCACCTTCTCTGCAGAGCGCACGATGCGCTGTAGTCTCTGCTTCAATCAATCAATCCTTTATTATCTCACAGATAGTTTAAATCCGATCGTCTTTGCACTTGAAGATGTTCATGTTTTAAAGCAGTTCATTAATTTGTATTGATTGTATTACCATATAAAAACAGTCATAGGCTTGGATTTGGATGTGTCTTTGTGCTATAGGTATTGAATGTTATTTATTGACCTAGATTTGCACGATATATCTTGTTGTGATTAACATAATTGAAGATATTCTCTCTGGTGCTGTTCCAGATCTCCGTATCCCCCTCATGTGGAAAGACACAGAGTACTTCAAAAACAAAGGAGGTGAGAGACTATTATACCTGTAGCACCAAATGATTGAGGTGGTTCTAGTCTCTACCGATGATGGAAATGAGAATCTTGCATCAGGCGTAGAGCTCTGCAAAAATCTAAAGATTGCAATCTCAAATTTGGTTGACAGAGATTATTAACATCAGAAATCAAATCAGCAGACAGCAATAATGTGGCCGTAATGACTTGTGTCCTTGCCTTCCATTGAGACTAGCTTAAATATTATGCAATGTGAAATAAATTTGGCAATGAAAATTGTGTTTTTGTATTTTGAAAGTAAGTATTCCGAAATGGAGATTGGTCAATAGTGATTCAGATTTTTCACAAATTGCCCAGCCCTTACTACATTGACGAGGATCTTATCTCATTTCTTCTTTGTTTTAGTGTTAGTCTAAATAGTGCTGTACATATGTTTGCTGTGGCTTACAGCTTTAGTTAGATATTAGAACCACTTTTTGTCAAGTGACTTTAGTAGCCAACCCTTGTGTCAACTTCTGGAAATGTTCAGGCTATTGATAGGTTTTTATTATAGCCATTCGGGTTTCTGTAATATATTCATATTCTCTGATAAATGGTCATTACGTGTATGTACTGTATAATAATTATTGTGACAGGCCTGGATATAGTATATTGACTTTTTTGTTGGGTTATGGTGGCAGGCCTATGCAATCAAACATATAAAAAAAGACCGGTTCTCATGCTTCTGTATCTTAGCAGCAGACTGTGTCGAGATCAGACATTCTTTCCTTATATTTGGTCACTTCCTTTGCAGAGCTCCACCGCTGTGCTGTGTTCTGCCTGCTGCAGCTGGGAGGAGAGATCTTTGACACAGATATGGTTATTGTTGACCGAACACTCACTGATATCTGCTTCGACAACACAATAGTATTGTAAGTTTTTTTATGGTATTGCTCCAACAACAGCTTTCCTTACAGAACTGTATAATCTTGTGATTGACATTGGAAGGTGTGCTTGTTCATATTCTGTGTTATTTGTTTTCAGTAATGAGGCCGGTCCTGGGTTTGAGCTCCGTGTGGAGCTGTATAGCTGCTGTTCAGAAGATGATTACTCAGCAGGAAGTACACCGAGAAAACTGGCCAGTAAACTGAGCTCCTCTTTGGGAAGATCTGCTGGCAAGAAGCTTCGAGCTGCTATGGAGCCTGGAGCATGTCCCATCAGCAATGGAGGAGCTTCTCCTCTGCTGCTCCCTGTCCCATCTGTACCGTGAGTTCAATATTTGTCTTTTCTCTTATTTGCACCTTGTTTGCTCTGAGATTAATCTTTGTGTGTTTTAGGGGCCCAAAATACCACCTTCTTGCACATACTATACTGAAACTGTCTCATGTCCAAGACAACTTTCGCACACATGACCTCACAATCTCAGGAAATGGTAAGAGCTGCCTCTAAAGCTGCTTGTTTTAAGAACACCAGAACTGCCATCTGTCCGCTTTTGTCCTTCACCATGTTTCTCCTTCTGAATAATTAGCTTTAATACTTCACATTCCCGAGGCTTCCTTCCTTTTTTACTGTTGATTCATGTTGCTGACAGATGGCTATTGTCAAGGTCTTTGTAATAAAGAGAGGTGGCTGCTGTGTACAGCTGTAATAATGTGGGCTAACAAGGGCCCAGATCCTCACCCAGACAGGCCCCTAGTGTTTCATTCATTGGTCCTTCAGGCTGCTGTAATGTTTGCTCCACCTCCTGGCACTCCCGACTGCTTCCAATCATTTTTTCATTTAGTTTAGCACATATACTGTGCTTTAAGCTGTATAAAAGAAACCTGGGATATGATCTGAAGTCTGCGGTTGTTGTTTTTGTGCAGAGGAGTGCTCATACTGGCTGCCTCTCTATGGAAGCATGTGTTGCCGCCTTGCTGCTCAGCCTCACTGTATGACTAAACAAATGATGAGCGGATCCTTAAAAGTAAAGGTATTTTTGATCAACTATTAGAAGACATTCATCTGTTATAGTAAAGTACTAAGCATTGATCTATCCCTAGCAATTAGGAGGAGAGCCCCAGAATTGGACCAAAGTACATGCAGTACTGAAAGGAGCAAGTCTTTCCTGCTATCACAGGCTTGAAGATGTTGAGGCAAATGTTGAACCGGCCTTTACTATTGGAATCAACAAGGTAAAGTACACTCTTGTTTAGACCACGCACTTTGACTAGGTACTGTTTCCTTGATATTTATTTTGTAGTCTATTGTCCTTTAATTAGACAACTGTGCTGTACTATAGGTATAGTATACCACGTGCTGGTATGTGTGTATTTATTTATTTACATACATTTGGTGTTTGTTTAGTTATGTTCAATTAAAAGAAAAACATAATTGGAACATCACTGCCATCTAGTGGCTAAAACCAAAATGATACAGGATCTGGAACCATGTCTTCTAGATAGAATAAACAGTTATTTTTCCTAACACGTATATTCCCCCTGACTGAAATTGCAGTAGATTTGAGATTGGAACTCGTAATTTAGATATTTCTTGATAATACAATTGTCTCTTTTGGTCCCATGTTATAGGAGACCAGAATACGTGCAGCAGAGAAGGACCCCGACAGTAAAGGTCAGCATATTTGCATCAGTAATCAGTATGGAGGAGACGAGGTCACACACACCGTCACTACAGACAGTCGAGATGAAACACACCGCTGGATGGAAGCTTTCTGGCAACATTTCTATGACATGAGTAAGCTCATACTCATACAGCTCTTAGCCCCATATGATATGGTCATGAAGATCACGGTGCTATTCAAATTGTTCTAGGTCAATGGAAACAGTGCTGCGATGACCTTATGAAAATCGAACTGCCATCCCCACGAAAACCGCCACTGGTTACTCCAAAACAAGGGTCCCTTTATCATGAAATGGGTAAGTTCATCTTAATAAAATGTAAATTAATATAGTTAATTAAAAATGTTAAACCCTATGCATGTGTTGCTATTTATAATACTTATGTCTTCTCACATTTCTACTAGATGATATACCTAAGAAGTCTGTCACTGACTTGTCTTTTTCTTTTCTTGTCTTGCTCTTTCCAATATCCGTCTTTGCCCTTGACTCTCATGTTCACCTATGATTTTCCCAACATTATTTTTTCCTTTACTAAAAACAAATTATTTGGGAACCCGTTTGCATCTTTCCTCTGTATCCTAACCTGGCAGCTCCTCTTGCTACGCCCTCCTGTGAGGGCCTGCTACTGCAGGATAATGCTGTGTCTGCTGAGATCCGTGCTTTGCTCTCATCCTATTACAACGACAGGTGAAGTAACAGAACTCTGAGCTCTCAGATTCATCTACTCTGAGACCCTAAACTAAAAATGTACTTGGTTTTATCCATACTTAAAGGTTACTGATTGGCTTTTGTAAAATAGAACAGTTACATTGTTCATAATACCTTACATGTTACAACACTATGATTTTTTATTCCAAAACATATTTTATGTTTTTCTGCAGTTATTGAGTCGTCTGATGACCTCAGCTCCACAGTGTCAGACATTCTGGCCCGGAGGATGCAGGAGCTGGAGCTCCGTAGTCAGCTGGGCACATCTCCTTGGATGACTTTGTTTGAGGAGAATATCCAGAAAAGCGCTGGTCGCCCTCGTCCCTGTGACTCTCGCTTGTTGGGCCCCAGCCCCTGCTCCCCTCACCGCCCACCACGGAGCCCCATGAGCCCGCAGAGGTACCCACAGCTGGGTCTGTTGTCCTCAGAGGCCAGCCTGACTTCAGACAGTGACAGTCACTGCAGCACCAGTCCCTGCTCTCAGAAACACGCTTGGCCGGACTCAAACTTCTCTCTACTGTCATCTTCCCCATCCCGTCTGAGGCCACGGACTTTATCTCTAGATGCAAAGCTCAGCACCCTCCGAGGCAGAGGCTATGGGGCCTACCAGTGCCCCTGTCAAACTCAACCCTCTTCTATTGTGAATCCTCTCCAGACGCCTCGATCGCCCCAATCCCTCTGCAGTACACAGACCACTCTCTCATGCTCTAGCTCTACCTCCAGTAACAGCTCCAGTAACAGTGAAGGCAACCACAGCCTGGATCTGACTGAAGGAGTCCCCTTTTCAAGGCCCTCCCCAGCTCGCCGCAGTCTCAGGAACTTACGGGTCAGACTTGATCCACGTAACTGGCTCCAAAGCCAGGTGTGAGCCTTGCGTTCAGTGGGATAAATGAAAACCGAAACTGCATACACCAGTTTAAACATATGTGAACCCTTCTCTCTGACTCTGAGCGGCACTCATCGGCCCGGCTTCATAGAAGAGCTCCAAATGGGAATGTCTTTAACACCGAAAGTAGATGACAATCACTTTGGTTGCTCTGCACTTTATTAGGTAGTAGAACTAGAGAGACATGTAGATCAACGGTACCGAGGATTTTTCTTTGGAAAAATGTGTCAACTTTTGGGAGAGACTTTATAATAATATCAAGCTCTTTTAAACTGGAAAAGGTAACAAGTTTTGTGTGCGCATCATCTGTGCTGGCTTAAAAGGTTCTGATTAATGCACTATCAGCATTTGTAAAGGTTTTGCAGTGATCGCATGTGCCCAGATGAACAGGCAGCATGAGATTGTTTTCATGTCTTGTGTTTCCAAAACTGTGAACACTACCTCAGTGCATTTTCCTTTTCATGTGATTCTGCACTGAAGTTCTCATGTTAGCTAAATGCTAAACATCTCTTTGTGGAAGTCTTCAAGAAAACATAGCATGTCCTCACAAAATTAATTTTTACTGTATTTGAGATCATATAGTATTTTCTCCATAGATATAAATTGTATTTCCTAGAACCATGCAATACCTCTATGTAGAAGGAATCTATAAAAATATATTAATTCAACATGGCAAAACTATATAACTCTACAATATTAGATAATAGGAATGTCTGTCTTATTTATTAATTTATTTGCTTTGTCATTTTAAACTTTGAAATACAATGTTCCATAAACATTTGTCAGGTGTTTTCATGCAGAATTTACTGTAAAATGTACATTATTTTATATACTAACAAATAAACCTATCATTATAATGTGTTTACTTATTTTGGCATCTCCAAAAGGGGCCTTGCTCTCTCCTGGTGCAGAGGTGCTTCCTCAAGTGGAGGACGCTCAAGTATCTTAGGTCTTGTTCACAGGGAGGAAAGGACTGAGCATGAGATTGACCGATGGATTGGTGCAGTCGAATCGGTGAAGAGTCAAAATGCAAAGCTTCCGATTTACAGAACTACGTTCCCATCCTAATGGTGATGGCATGGTTTGACTTTTTTACAGGGACATTGTTCCATGAACATTAGCCAAAAGGAGATTCATTGTACCAGATTATAGCAGGAGTGATAAACTCCACCTGTGCAGGTTGTCACAGTAAAACAAAAGGAGCAGGATGCATGATCATACATTATCAGACCAAGGTTACAATTTAATTAAACTTTCGTTCCATAGCACACGTGGAATAGATTCAGACATTTGTCAGGCCAAAAATACCAGTGATTGTGACAATCTCAGTTGGGAGTGAGTTCAGAGAAGGAGAAGGCTGATCGGCTGAGAGAGGTTCTGTACAGAGGTTCCCTTGTGCTTTGGATAATGACCAAAAGGGTGAGAGCGTGGATAGAAGCCATCCAAATGTGTGTCCTCTGGAGTGGCTGCCCTGAGATGGGGTGAGGAGCTCAGTAAAGCCACTGCTCCAAGTTAAGAGACGGTGAAGGTGGCTCGGAAATCCGTTTTGAATACCTCCCTGGGCATATCCCAACAGGAGACCCTGGGGTGAGTTCAGAACAAGCCATTTCTCAGCCTGGGAACACCTCTGAATTCTCCCTAAATGAGTTAGAAGTGTGCAGAGGGAAGTCTGCTCGTCTCTGCAATCCGGCATCGGATAAAGCGGGAGAAAATGAGTTGGCTTAAGACCTCTTCCTGTACAGAAAACTCCAATACTAAATGTATTTATTCAAATGGACGGCATATGCCCACTGCAGCGTGCAACTTCCATCTTTAGACACAAACCTGCAGACCTGCAATATGAGCCGTTACATTCTCCATTGGATTTCTAACTCCCACTTAAACCTTTGCTGAACAACTTGATATCTACTTAGAGAAAAAAACGATAGAATTCAATTAGAGGTTTTATTGCCCATGCGGATTCCTTGGATTTATACATAGTACAAAGCACTGTTACAAAGAAAGGAGGTAGTTGACACTGCGCTCACTGTGATATGCATAGACTCGACATTTGGCCACTCATTCATTTTCAGACGTGTCAAAGAACAACCAAGGCTTCCTGCCTTTTGTTTTCAGTGCAGAGTACCCATATTATGTGTGCTTATAGCTTCAATGTATTGAATATAAAATAATAGCAAATACATAAATAACAAAATATATTTACAGGATAACATTAATAAATAGTTACATTATTTAATATGCTTCATATACTGCTTATTATTGACTTATGTAAGCCACTTACGTTTGGCAATCTAAGTTGTGCGAGGTTACATAAGTAAATAATATTAATATATTTAACCCAAACATTTACCCAGTTTGACTTTTACACTGTTCATTCATTTTGTGCAGTTGTTTCTTATAAGGTGCACCAATGTATTAGCAGGCACTACGTGGGTTGAATGCTCGCAGAGCCATACCAGCAATGGTCCTCCAAGCGAATGTTGAGAACTTTGCTGGACAAGTTTCTGCTCTGCTGATGTACCCTGATGCAATCCGATGGAGGCGCTTTGCACCAAATGCATTGTAGTGTCCAGGGAGGACTTGATCAACCTAGAGAAACCAGAACACACATTAACTAAACACTTAAACGTCATGTTGCAAAGCATGTTGATAGTTGTGTATGGTTACCTGTTCACTGTCCACAAGACCAACTAGACGTTCACAACTACTGATGTAGTCACTCACTTGACTGTAAGGCAGCCAGTCGATCATGGCCCCATCATACACTACATCACCACTGAACAGCAGCTTGTTCTCCTGGTCATGAAGGCAGATGCTGCCTCGAGAGTGACCAGGCATGTGCAACACAGTCAACTGCCTGTCACCCAGGTTAATTACGTCACCTAGACAGAAAGCGCAAAAGATTTAAGGATCACACCCATCCAAAATATATAACATTGAAGAGAGGAAAGTGGTTATATAACTATTCACAAATGCACTAGTCCAGAACACCAGAGTTCTAGTGACACTGAAATAATCAAGGCCAGGGTGACCCACTACTACTCCTAGTAAAGGATCAGACAGAAACAGTAGAAATACCAGTACCCTCTTGCAGTATATGGGTCGGCTGCACGGCCTTGACTTTGTAGTTTCTTGCTCTCCAACCCGGACAAGGCGCTTCAGCTATCTCTCTGTCGCTGAGCCAGGTGACTGTCTCAAAATTGTCCCCGTTTGCCAAAGCCTCCACCTCTGCGCTGTGGACGCCCACCTGTTGGAACTGATGCAGCCCCCCGGAGTGGTCGAAGTGGGCGTGGGTGGCAATGGCCAGCAGTGGGTTCTTACGCTGCGGATCCTTGCCCAGGAGCCCTTTAGCGTCGATGTACTCAGGTAAGCTCCGCAAGCCTAGGCCAGTGTCTATGACCACGTCCTGGTGTGTGCCGCGCAGAAGCCAGATGTTGGCCCGGTTATCCGACTGATAAAAGCGCTCCTGGATCCAGAAGAGGCCGTCTCCGAGCTCTTTGTGGGCGTACCAGTCAGACGCAGACATCCCAGTGTGTGCGCCTGTCGCGGGCCGCTGCAGGAGGATGTACGTGTGGGGTTTAACAGCTGCTGCTAGGCTCACAGCTAAAGGTAGTAGATTTCATTGAATGTGAAGTGATGGTGGCCACAGACACACCCTTAGGGGAGGAGAGAGAGGCCATTGGAGGTACGAGGACCAGCACACAGCTGTGATAGGCTGCGCATTTCTGCAACGTCAGCGATGGGCGCCAGTGTGCATGAACAAGTCTGCTCTCCAGGGTCTTTTCTGTGGTCCTTCCATGTGGCGAGGTGTACAAGTTTGTGTTTATGGGCCTAAATATAAATAATATATCATTTCAAATTAGAAGTAAACTGGCAAAAGAGAACCCCCCCCAGTAAAGTCCATTGCCCTCGTTTTTGCAGTAGAATTAACATTTCACTGGGATTGTTTGGTACACTTAAACAGTGAGTAGTGTTTGCAAACATGTCTGTCCTGTTATGTGATCATCTGTTTGTTTATGAAACCTGCCTGTATTGACATGTGCCTGTGCTTAGTCATGGCAGGTAAGGGTCGTGGAGTGGCCGCCTTCACCTTCAACATCGAGGCTCTGGGCATCGGCAGAGGCAGCATGCCAGAGGCCAGGGTGGGGCCCAGCCCTCTGTTTCCAGTAAGTATCACTAAAGTATCACTTTTGCATCTCACTAGTCCAAAAGATGGGGAACTACAATGCGAGAAGATGGTCAATTAGTATAGTTGTTGTGGCATTCCATGACATCAAACCCAACTGTTCATTTCAGAACTCCTAAAGTGTTTGTGCATTCATGACGTGTCCGGTTTGTCTAGCACACAGATTTTAAACCTGTCCCACTGAAATATGAAGAGGATGACAACTATATGCTGGCATTAAAACAGGAGATGAGAGGAACAATGCAACGACGGCCACACAACATTAAGCCCCTGAATAATAAGGCAGGTGAGAAAAACACAGATGAAATTGTGGCACGTAGGCTTGATGCCTAAAATACTTTCAAGCTTTACTTCTAAATCTTTCAAATCTGTATGAAAAGTGGTGGAGAGATACACCGAGCGCTATCTCAAGAAAATCAAAGTTGAAGATGAAGAATGGACTCCAGGTATAATTTCACTGTGAGTGAGTATGTTTAAATACAAATCATGTATGTAAATATGTATATATTCCAGATTGGAACATATTCCCAAAAGAGCTGATGCCCCAAAAGAAGAAAACGCGGCCAAAGACAAGTATGATAGATATTCCAGTCAAGAAAAATGCATTTTATAAAAGGAACTGTATGGAGGACTTTTACATTCAATTATATATAGTTTATTTGTCCCCAGAGATGAGGTAAAAAAAAAAAATAATAATTAAATATCCAATGATTTCATTAAATGGCGGTTTGAAGGGTCAAGTCCTGGGTTTTTGGCCGCTACCTCAGCAGCTGCAGACAAGAGCTGAGGCTGAGCAGCCGGTAATCATCAAAAGGTCTCAAAAATGAGCACATGAAGAAAGGAAGTATTTTGCTGAATTTGGGTGCAGCCAGTAAGAGCACTAACTACATACAGTTCCTTTTGAAGTTTGTAAGCCTAAAAGTAAAACATGTTGAACACCAACAGGTGCAAAGAAAAAATCTGTTAAAGTGACACACAAAGACGCAGAGGCTGTGCTCATTAAATTAGATGTGAGACACTTTTTTTGATTTATATTCTTCTAAACATTAACAAGTACTGACAGATGTTTAACCCAGGAATTGGCAAAGAAAGATGATGGAACAACGGAAAACTCTGACGATGAAAAGGAAAAGAAAGAAAAAAATGAAGATGAGGATGAACTAGAAGAGGAGGCAATTGACGAAGAGGATATTGAAGAGGTCAGCATCAAATGCCGTGTGTCGTAGTGTATGTAATGACATAAGATATTGTAAAACTTTTTTTGACAGGATAATGATTACAATGAAAGCTATTTTGACAATGGAGAAGACTTCGGAGCAGTTAGTGACGACAACATGGATGGTGAAGCAACTTATTGAGAAGTCAGTTTTTCTACAAGATTTATTTAAACTGAATATCAAACTAACAGACTTTGTTTCAGAAATGTTTTCCTTTAGTCTCTTGTAAACGCCTAGATTGTTTTTCCTATTTTTTGTCATCCTAAAGGGCAAGAGAATAAGATTCTCAACTGTATTAAGTATTTAATCTGTCTATTTCACAATTTACCAAAGGAAATGTTTTCTAGTATATTCTCCTTTTTGTATAAGAGAAAAGGCAAATGCTATGATACATGTATTATTTATTCTGAATCATAGGACAGTTTTACAGGATGAAAAGGCACAAATTGTCAATTAAGTTGAACAAAGATAATAATAAAAATACTATGAACAAACTTGAAATGGAATAGTTATAAGAAATAAAATGCTGTAGTGATTAATTGTACGCAGGTTAGCTTCCTTGGTTTCATTTGGCAAGTTTATTTTAAACCATTCAATACTGATAGTGTTGGATGAGTTAATTGGATCAATGTTTTTCCAAATAAATCTAAAGTGTACAGCAAATTGCTTTTTATGGAGCTAAATCAAATATAACATGAATAAAAAATGCAATGTCTGACTTAATACATCTGAAAGCATTGAGCAGATTGGAGTAAAAAACATAAAATAACCATTTCTGCTGAATTAAAAGTGAGAAACACCTTATCCTTGGACCTACATTCTCAGTCGCTATAACCTGGACCTAATGGTCACAACATCTTACCTGCAAGCCAGGGAGAAGTTAAAAATCATTTTGGAAGCAAAAAAAAATCTTATGTATTTAAGCCATTAGGGTCATTTTCTTTTTGATGTGCTGGTCCACTTCGATCTGCGTTTCTGTCAGGGTTCCTTGGACCAGCCACTGCATCTTCATTGAGATTTAAATTAAAGTACAAGCCTTTGCCATTGAATTGTTCTTGTGAAATATCATTAGTTTGAGTAGGATTACCATGATGGCTTACATCTGCTTTCACAAGGACTTCATAGTAGAGCAAATAAAACACAGGAGTAATGATGCCAACAAACAACATAATGGCAACAGCTGTCCACCATCTCATTCCCCAATCTGCCCCGTAATATGGATCCTTTCTTTGGGCTGGCTTGTACACTTCTTCTAGCAGAGGTTGTTGTTGAAGAGTTAAAGAAGACACGACCTGGTTGAGGTTGCTCCGTGAAGGATTAGTGGACTTCACTAGCCGCTCTATGTCTTTATCCTTCTCCAATAGAAATCCTTCTACACTGTCTGTGGAGGAGCATGAGTCTGTGGAGGATTCCAAAGGAAGGACAGTTGAAGGAGAGACCTGAGGTTGGGGCCTGGCACTAGGAGGTGAGGAAGATGAGGCTGCTCCACTCATGTGAGTCTCTGTAAGGATGCTAAAACGTTTCACTGGAATCTTAATTGAACGAAGAGCAAAAAAGTCTTGTTCCTTCAAAAGATTGTTGGAACGTTTAATATCAGCAACCTGAAACCACAAGATATGGGAATACTTACAATTACGATGATGCTTAGAAAGAAAATGAAACTAGTCTTATTGCGTAGTAAAAGCCAAAAACTTACCGTGCAATGGTATTGCAGAGCAATACTGTTGAGTGTATCTCCTTCCTGGATGTCTCGAACCAGATATATGATGTCATCCATCTTTTCTCGCGAAGTACTTCTACGCAAACGCTCTCTACCTCGAGGCCGAAGCTCATAGTTCTCACAATCCTCTTCCGACAGGTCGTTTTCTGAGCAGCTGTTCGTGAACAGGTAGGTATGGCCCCCGTTGGAAGGTTGAACCATTGTGGCCGATTGTAGACCATAGTGCTGGCTCCGAGACATGTTTTCTAAAACAGAAAGACATGCGGTAGATACAATTCAACAGACACACACACATATACACTGGTGTACAGCAATCTGGAAAGCATTTTGTTCTAACTTTACTGTAGGGGGGGAAAAAAAGTCCATTGTAAATACTGTATTGATGTATTTGTAATTCATGTGTTTACCATTGAGTACAGAGAGCAAACAGAGATCAATGCTACGTGTCAAGGTCCTTTTACGCAACTTTTGTTATCTTAAACTGTCTGCCCTGTGGAACATGGCAGATAAACTGATAACATATGTTTACCATGTGGGAAAAATCTGAAAATAAATCAGCAAATTACAGAGAGAAACCATTGGTTGCTAATATAATATACAGTATAACAGGTGATAGTGATTGCGTTCACCAGTAACCTTTATGAACAGATTTGGTAAGTGAAACTAGTTCATTATGGCTTCCTGATATACAGCGTTAGCTGACAGCAATGAGTACGACAAGATAGGAATGACATTGTGGATAATGACAACTAAACACGTCATAGCGAATATGACTTGAATTCTAATGACTAAAATAAGAGATGTTGGCAAATAAAAAGTACGGGCATGCTAACCAAATGCTAGCAACAAATACTATCTTGAAGCTTGCTGTGTGTTTGTATATTTCTTGTTATTCCAAGCGCAACACTTTGAAATAGGATTGTCCGGAATCTCACCTTTAAACGTGATCTCTCATTAGTTAAGAAAGTTGTGAAACATCCAAGACTTCCACGAAATAGTCTACAAACTCTCCACTCCGAGGAGGCATCTCTGCTGCTCTGTGCGGTGCTAACAGCTGCTAATGCTAACCCCCAGAGCTGCTACCAGGCCACGTCAACAGAGCGTGCGTAATGACGTTGCCACTATTTTTTTTTTTTTTCACTTATAATTATATAAATGTCCTTCATCTTTTCTGACAAAGCCTGTTACCTGTTGCACAAAAGGAACTGTTAAGAGATGTATCACATTTTATATTGGGCAAGTTTTACAATAATAACGATTAAAGGACATCAGTTTGTGTTTGTGTCCCTACTCATGGTCTCTGGGCTGGTTTGGTCAGTGGCGAGACTTGAATAAGTCCTTTCAATACTTAATGTACTAAGCAAGATTACTTTTAGAAACTTTAACATGGTGTTGTGAAATTGAAAGCCTACAATTGTAATGGAAGAGGGTCTGGGAAGACCCAGGACTTGCTGGATGGACCAACCTCTGAGAAACGGAAGAAAGAGAAAGAAAATTGATGAATGACGCATGTCCTCTTGATGCATTTCAAATAATGCTATGTAAATTATGTAACTACAGAAACATTTATCTGCAGATGTATACATTGTGTAGAGTTAACATGAACGCAAACATTTTAAACAGCTACAGAAATGTCCTAATGACTAATGAAGTCTCCACGTGTGCATGTCTGGTTTATGCTGGTGTTCAATAAAACTAATGAATTTCTTGATTAACACAAAACAAAGTAATGCAGGATTTTTTTTAGATTTTTTTTTAATAGTCCATAAGCAGGAGTGGGGCAAAAAAGTATTTGGTCAGTCACCAATTGTGTAAGTTCTTCCAATTAAAAAGATAAGAGATGCCCTTCATTTCCATCATAGTTATACCTTATCTGTGAGAGACAAAATGAAAATAAATATCCAGGAAATCATATTGATTTTTAAAGCAAGTATTTGCAGATTATGTGAAAAATAAGTATTTAGTCAATTGTAAAAGTCCAATGGAATACTTTGTTATATATCCTTGTTGGCCATGACAAGGTCAAATGTCTACACAAGGTTTTCACACTGGTGTTTTGGCTCATTCCTCCATACAGATCTTCTCTCAACACTGACTTTCAACTTCCTCAAAAAAAAAAACTAACACTCGATAAATGGTTAGATCTATATTTTAGACAATGTTGACAGTTGTAAATCCTTTTTAAATTGGTGGTTATAAGATCTATCCATATTTGGATTAACTGACTTTGGTGAAATTAACTGACTTTGGTGAAAATAATTTGACATTCCATGTCCACTGGAGGAATTATTTCAAATTATTTCATCAATTCTTATTCTCATCAATACAAGAACTCCATAAAACTTCTTGCTTTCATTGGAAAGTGCCCATTACATGTACAGCTGACTGAGGACTGAGATCATGCCCCCTTTTTATTTTATTTTCATTTGTATTTTTGTATTGCTTTCTCTTTCTGTGTAAATATTAAGTAAGGTATATATTTTGTTGGTATTGTTTGTATTAATAACGTCCTCCCAAGATTTTCTTCAACCATTTTGATTTTTCTCATAAAGATTATCATAAAGTTTGTAAAGCTATTCCCACAGCCTTGATTCACGTCATCAGCTATCGTGCCGCCCGAGTGGATATACACTCTCGCTTCTCAGCAAGAAGGTCCTGGGTTCGAATCCCAGTCGGAACAGGGCCTTTCTGAGTGGAGTTTGCATGTTCTCCCCGTGTTGGCGTAGGTTTCCTCTGGGTCATCCGGTTTCCCCTACCACTAAAAACATGTACAATAGGTCTGGCATGTGCCTTCTGTACTGTCGACTCCGTTCTCTGTGTGGAGTGAGAGACAAATGCCTACAATTGTAAAGCACTTTGTGAATCTGGTCTGTGAAAGGTGCTGTTTAAGATTTCTTACTTACTTACTTACTTATCGGTGGAATTCAAATCCATGCCACTGTCAGCAGAGTTTGCTGATTTCCAGCAAACTCCTTGGTTGAAAAGAAATATCACAATAAATGTTTAACCAGTGCTTTCAAATATATTCTTTATCAGGATTATTACTCCGGAAGTTTTTTGTTTTGTTTTTTAGATTGATGATATATCTGCTTTGCCAAGGCCTTACAATAAATGGCAAATTCCATTAAGTTAATAAACAAGTAGCTCTTGTTTTTGGCTGTGATAAAATGCCCTATACACAGCAACTATTATATTGCAATTTTATATTGGGCAAATACTACATTAATATAAACGTATTCATGAAAACATTCTTTCAACTTAATAATAATCTTATTGTTAATCATACTATTACTTATCTCAAAGTATCACATCCAAAGATAATTACATATATACGTAACCCAAACCCTGCTTCAGATGTTGTGCCAAAATACACTTTCACTGTCATGGAAAACTGGCCACGTGTGTTCCAACAACAATCTCCATAATTCATCCATGCTACTGACATATAGGACATTTTTAACTGGCTTTATGTGTAGAGAATATGACTGAAATCTATTATTTCGCCTATGGGTGCAGTTCGCCTCATCTCCAGTAGGTGGAGCTGTCTGCTGACACTTTGAACTTCTCTTGGGAGACAAATGGGATTAAAACGTCTGGTGTGATTAGCCAGTGCCGGGAGGACGAGCAGGAGTTGTGAGCCCAAAGAAGCTGTAAAGTACTTCTTCAGAGAGGGAGCGAGAGACGTGTTTGTGTACAGCAGCAGGCGCACGCACATGGCGCAAGTGCACGCAACACAGTGGACACTCGAACAGCCTCAAAGTAGCGGGATTTGTCGCTGGTGTATTTCTTTTCATGGGCTGTGTGCGCTCAAAGATACATGCTATAGCGTACTGATGTCTGCCGCGTTTCCACAGCATTGAGCTGGATGTTAATTGGACCAACCTGACGTCTTTTAGAGCGCAGACCGATGGTACCCTCCACTCTGAACATATAATTGTACTTCGGACAGAGCCGAAGCAAGGTGTCAGGTAAGTTGTACTTGTTCTTGAAAACGCTGAACTGCAACTGTCATTTTATTTAAATGTGATGCCATGTGAAAGTTTGGGGTTCGGGATTCCTGATGTTGTCCCACGTTAAATTATTTCAGTTAGGTTCTAGTTATGTAGTTAGTTTATTTATTTCACTTCCTGGCTGTGTATGGACAACTATGGCTATTGAAACAATGCAGATCTTGGGTCTCTTAGGCAATTTAAATAAAGTAGCGCCAAAGCGGACACGTTATTCAATAGCCTAAAACAACGACTGGACGTGGCTGACCGCTGGTAATGTCTTTGTGGTCTATGCCAACACCCCCTCGTTGGGGGTCATAAACATGAAAAGCCTAAATATTGATTCAGCGTGATGAGTAAATGAATGCGCAGGCCATTGAGGATGAGGACAAACGCTGCCATGGTTACAGGCAGGACCTCGGCATGATTACGGCGCTTTGTCTGCACTTCTCTCTCCCACTGAAATAAAACAACAGCTCAGAGGGAACTGCTCCACATGGAGAGGCGAGAGCAGCCCCTGTACTCCCCTGCTAATCTACAGGCTTACCCCAGACAGAAGTAATCTGCCACACTTTGAGTTATGCACATGTGCTGCAAGTGTTGTTGTCTGCAGCAGACATCCAGTAGCATGGTGACCATGACCATTTATTGAACTTGCACTACGTCTTTCAATCTGTATTTAACAAGGAAAAATGTTTGAGAACTTACTCTTATACTTACAACATTGTCCATAGAAATTATTCATATTTTCCAAAAACCTATTAGGCCTACTAGTGTTGCTCTTCTATTTAGTCATATTCTGTGAAGCCCACTAAAATGAATACAATAAATACTAAAAAGTAAATGTTTTTTCTTTCTTTTTTCTACCAAATATAATGCCCCTTATAGAATGCTCTTATTGGCCTTAATGAGTTGATTATTTGTAAGCCTTATTGAAAGTGATAATGTAATATCTGATAGTGCCACACACTACATCAATTTGTCTCCAGTGTTTTTTGCAGACTGGGGTTGGCCCTGGGCCTTGTGCTCAGAGCTGGGGTCCTTTGTCTGTCAGTGTTTATGTCATTGCCTGGCAGGGGTCAGCCCAGTCGCCCGTGTGGGGGTCTGAGTCTGATTCACTGGGCGGAAACTGTTTTATTGCCTGCCTCTCGCTGCTGCTTTCTCCTCTCCTAATATTTCACATCACCTGTCCTTTTGAGGCTTGTCATTGTGTTGCATGTTGGTGAATGACTGACAGCACAGACGCAACAGCAGCTTTCATTACACTATCCATGACAAGTGCAGCAGATCGTGGTCTCCCAGATTATAGATCATAAGAACTCTATAATAGGCTATAAATGTATATGCATGTATCGTTGTAATAACTGTTTCATAACCTTTAACTTACATAGTACAACAAGTTAAATGACTATCATTTACATTATTTTAACTGTATTGTCTCTGATTGCACTTCACTTAATGCGAAGACATAAAAAAGTTCAGAGTGCAGGATGTAGTGTAGGACCAGTGGATCTGTGGGCTCACTGATCAATAGCATTCCCGAGGTCTGTGTCGTGACAGGCCGGCTTGTGCTCCAGGACGCTCCTGCACAGTTGGTCTTGACCTCACATATGTAGGACACTGCCACATTGTTGTCGTTACTTTATTGCTGTCGAGAGACCACCTGCAGCTTTCTGATGTGTCTTCAAGTGAAGCTTGAACGCTCAACTGTACACTTGTTCTCTCCTCTTGCACAACTGCTCTTCCACAAGATTCAAGTTAACATTAATGGTACATTAACATAATATTATATAAATAATTGTTTTAATGGGTGATTGTTAAAAAATAAAAACTCAGAGAAATACACTTTAGGGCAGGGATCCAATCTATATCTCAGAGCTACCAGTAGCTCGCCACCTCATTGCAAGTACCTTCCTAAAAGATTTAGAATTTGTATTAAAATGCTGAACATTCTATACAAATGTATAGATGCCCACTATTGCCAGCTATGGTAAACGCAAACCAACATTTCAATAAGTGATAACTGATGACTCTTAATATAACCTATTTAAGGCTAGATTTCACCATTAAGAAGTTCTCTTTTCTCCAGAAGCTTAAAGGAGCAGCTCTCTGCCAGTTTAGAAAGTAGTAAAAAGGTTTGCATTTGTGCGGCACCTCTTTCACATTTGAGAAAACTTATTAAGGTACACAGGCAGCTAAATTTCCTAGTTTGTGCACTTTAGCTCCTTGATTGATGGTGTATTCACATCGATTATAAATAATCCCATGATAATCTGTGATGATTAGTACCAACAACTCAAACACACACTGTACCTTTCTTTCTATAATAATGATCCTCCCTGTCTCTGTGCTCCTGCCGTTGGCGTGGCATTCAGTTGTATATGGCATTCAGTTGTATATGGGATTCAGTTGTATACAGTATGGGATTCAGTTGTATACAGTATGGGATTCAGTTGTATACAGTATGGGATTCAGTTGTATATGGCGTTTTGTGTCTTCACTTCTTTCTATTGCATACTCTCCTGAGGCTGTGTGTCGTTCAAGACCAGAGTGATAGAAAACACTGTTAAAGTGACTGTGAAAAGGATGGTTTGAATTCTACTGGAGAAAAGACCAGCATGCCAAAAAGCAAGAGTAGCTGAATGAATTGAGATCTAGCCATGTTAAAAATGCACACACAACACAAAGAAGACTACGAGGCTCAAAAGCAGGTCCTTGAAGTTGTATGCTGGTCAGTGAATCCAGCTTCTTCTTTTGCGAGAATACGCCCTGTTCTGTTTTTTTCTTTTTAAATCCAATTAGCATTTCCTTCAGGCCCTACTGGTTACATGCACAGAAGTAATGCCTTTTTTCATTTGGTCCTTTGGTTTGTGAGGTATAGAAGAGTTCAAACTCATTTAAGGCTCGAAAGGGCTTCTGTGAATGTCTGCATTTCTGCCACACAAGAACAGGTCAAATACAAAGAAACTCCACTGGAACTACGTCTTTGAGCTCAGATACTTCTTCCAAGTTTCAGATAAATACTTACCTGAACTAATTTAGTTTTTCATATTCTAACCACAGCCTACATGGATCCCAGAATGATTTCGTTTTTCCAACAAGGCAAAATGACTTGCTTCATACATCGTTGTTGTTTCACTTTTTCATTCTTGTTGTTCAGAATATGGGGTACAATGTTTGTATTTTACTTTTCCAATGGCTCTATTTTATTTTAAAATGTCACCCACCTCCGCGAACAGTTTTTTTTTAAGCTGTTGCATATCAGCTTCATTAATAGAAGTTTTAAAGAACGCCTTTCATGTTTATGTTGTGTCTCTCTCTGGTTTTGTGGGAACAGTCCTCTGTCTGTATGCTCTGACAAATGATACAGTGCCTTGCGAAAGTATTCGGCCCCCTTGAACCTTTCAACATTTCGCCACATTTCAAGCTTTAAACATAAAGATATAAAAATATTTTTTTTTGTCAAGAATCAACAACAAGTGGGACACAATCGTGAAGTGGAACGAAATTTATTGGATAATTTAAACTTTTTTAACAAATAAAACACTGAAAAGTGGGGCGTGCAATATTATTCGGCCCCTTGCGCTAATACTTTGTAGCGCCACCTTTCGCTGCAATTACAGCTGCAAGTCGCTTGGGGTATGTCTCTATCAGTTTTGCACATCGAGAGACTGGAATTCTTGCCCATTCTTCCTTGCAAAACAGCTAGAGCTCAGTGAGGTTGGATGGAGAGCGTTTGTGAACAGCAGTCTTCAGCTCTTTCCACAGATTCTCGATTAGATTCAGGTCTGGACTTTGACTTGGCCATTCTAACACCTGGATACGTCTATTTGTGAACCATTCCATTGTAGATTTGGCTTTATGTTTTGGATCATTGTCCTGTTGGAAGATAAATCTCCGTCCCAGTCTCAGGTCTTTTGCAGACTCCAACCGGTTTTCTTCCAGAATGGTCCTGTATTTGGCTCCATCCATCTTCCCATCAATTTTAGCCATCTTCCCTGTCCCTGCTGAAGAAAAGCAGGCCCAAAGCATGATGCTGCCACCACCATGTTTGACAGTGGGGATGGTGTGTTCAAGGTGATGAGCTGTGTTGCTTTTACGCCAAACATATCGTTTTGCATTGTGGCCAAAAAGTTCGATTTTGGTTTCATCTGACCAGAGCACCTTCTTCCACATGTTTGGTGTGTCTCCCAGGTGGCTTGTGGCAAACTTTAAACAAGACTTTTTATGGATATCTTTGAGAAATGGCTTTCTTCTTGCCACTCTTCCATAAAGGCCAGATTTGTGCAGTGCACGACTGATTGTTGTCCTATGGACAGACTCTCCCACCTCAGCTGTAGTTATCTGCAGTTCATCCAGAGTGATCATGGGCCTCTTGGTTGCATCTCTGATCAGTCTTCTCCTTGTTTGAGATGAAAGTTTGGAGGGGCGGCCGGGTCTTGGTAGATTTGCAGTGGTCTGATACTCCTTCCATTTCAATATAATTGCTTGCACAATGCTCCTTGAGATGTTTAAAGCTTGGGAAATCTTTTTATATCCAAATCCGGCTTTAAACTTCTCTACAACAGTATCTCGGACCTGCCTGGTGTGTTCCTTTGTCTTCATGGTTCTCTCTGCGCTTTAAACAGAACCCTGAGACTATCAAAGAGCAGGTGCATTTATACGGAGACTTGATTACACACAGGTGCATTCTATTTATCATCATCAGTCATTTAGGACAACATTGGATCATTCAAAGATCCTCACTGAACTTCTGGACTGAGTTTGCTGCACTGAAAGTAAAGGGGCCGAATAATATTGCACGCCCCACTTTTCAGGTTTTTATTTGTTAAAAAAGTTTGAATTATCCAATAAATTTCGTTCCACTTCACGATTGTGTCCCACTTGTTGTTGATTCATGACAAAAAAATTACATTTTATATCTTTATGTTTGAAGCCTGAAATGTGGCGAAATGTTGAAAGGTTCAAGGGGGCCGAAT